TCATCTTGGAGAGAAGTGACCAGTGGGGTGCCACAGGGTTCTGTCCTATGCTCAGTACTATTAAACATCTTTATCAATGACTTTGATGAAAGAATAGGGGGCATGCTTCTCAAATTTGCAGATGACACCAAATTAGGAGATAGCTAATATCTCAGAAGGCAGGATGAAAATTCAAAATGACCTCAATAGATTAGAAAGCTGGGCCAAGCAAACAAAATGAATTTCAACATGGAGAAATGTAAGGTACTGCACTTAGGGCAAACAATTGAAATGTGTAGATATAAACTGGGGGACACCTGGCTTAAGGAGACTATGGGCCTAAGCAGACGGTGCAAGGTGCCATTTTCGAGGCCAGGAAGGGGAGGGGCAGCCTCACACTGGGTGCCCCAACCCCTTCCCGAAAACGTCATCGGAGCGGCTGGCCCTTCGCATGGCCGGCACTCCGACGATGCACTTCTGCTGCAGCGTCCGCACATGCTGCAGCAGAAGAGGTGCTGAAGGTGCACCAGAGGCCTTTTGCCCTGCACCTTCAGTATCTTGCGGAAGGAGCACTATTTTAGCACTCCTTCCTGGGCCTGGGACACAGCGCATTGGGGCCAAGGAGTGCGGATACCTCGGCCCCAATCTGCAGCTTCCTGGGGTGGCCCCGTGCCACCCGTCTGCTTCCCCCATGTGTGAAAGGGATCTAGGAGTCCTAGTCGATCACAAGTTCAACATGAGTAAACAGTGTGATGCCACAGCTAAAAAGACCAATGCAATTTTAGACTGCATCAATAGAACTATAGTATCTAGATCGAGGGAAGTTACAGTGCCACTGTATTCTGCTTTGGTCAGACCCCACCTGGAATACTGTGTCCAGTTCTGGACACCACAATTCAAAAAGGATGTTGAAAAACTGGAGCTTGTCCAGAGGAGGGTGACAAAATCGTGAAGGGTCTGGAAACCATGCTCTACAAGGAACTGGGTATGTTTAGCCTGGAGAAGAGATGGTTAAGAGGTGACAT